GGTGAGTGGTTTGAGCCTCCTAGATGACCTTTGCCAGGCAAGGGGCAGCTAGTCAGCAGTGAAGCCATGCCTCACGCCCAGCATTGCCCTTAGTTGTGTCTCTTTTACACTTTATGCTTAGCAGTTACGACTAGATTCCCCCTATTTTCTTGTTAGCAGGGCATTTCTGTTCTGGTTTGTCCCCAGGACAGACTTCTTGCTCCCTTCCCTGCTTGCAGCCAGCCCCTGACCCAAGGCTACACACTCTGCAGTCCACACACCAGGATCATTTACCTGGGCACACACTCATCTCTGAGCCTCAGTTCACTCCCCTGTGAAGTAAAACCTATTTCTGAGGTGATCGTGAGGCCTTTGTACAGGAAGCTGCTGGTCCTGGCATGGTCTCTGGAAAGATTTGAACCCTGGTAACTGAGATCACCAGCAACCTTCGGCCACAGACTTGGATGACCCCCATCCCTTCCCCACCTCTGTGGCCTCGTACTCATTCACTGCACCTGTTGGAGGTGTGAAGGAGCTAGAGAGGAGACTGTAGATCTGTCAATTGTTATTTCTTTTCGAGGCAGGATTTCTCTGTGGCTTTGGAGGCTGTCCTGGAACTAGCTCTTGTAGACCAGGCTGGTCTCGAACTCACAGAAATCCTCCTGCCTCTGCCTCCCGAGTGCTGGGATTAAAGGCGTGCGCCACCAACGCCCAGCTGTTATTTCTTCTTTTTAACTAGGTTAGTCACAGCATAAGGTATGGAATAATCTAGAAGTATGGATGGTGCCTAAGGACCCCTGAGCTTTGAAGTGATGGCAGCCCCTGGTAGGATTAGGCTGGACAAGGGCACTTTCAATATCCTGCATAGCACCTGGAGCTGGCCAGCAAGGGAGAGGTCTTTTTGTTCTACCTCACATTTGTGCATATTAAACATGTCCTGGGGTAAATACATAAAGATTAGGAATTCATTGTTATCTTCCGCTCATTGGAGGCTAGCCTGGGCTACATGAAACTCAAAAAATAAAATGAGTATAAGGAAGCTCTGTGCACTCCTCTTTCCTCTTGCTCACACACACAGCAACAGCTATTACCCACAATCCCCTTTAAAACTCTGCAGAGTGTGGGGTTGTCATTCTGCAGTAGTATAGTTAGACCCTTCTGTTTAAAGATGCCAAGAGAATAGTCACCTTAACTATCCACAGGTCTATATCTCGGAAATTGCCTACCCAGCCATCCGAGGACTGCTCGGCTCCTGTGTGCAGTTGATGGTTGTCACCGGCATCCTTTTGGCCTACGTGGCAGGTAGATTTGCTTGCTGTCTTTTGATCCCCATTAATGGGTTACATGGCCACTTTGGAAACAGGCAGGAGTTTGCCTGGTGCTACTAGACAAGGTGCCAGTTTCTCAGTCACACTCCTGGGAACTTGGTATGAGTGGATCTGGTAACGGAGCACCAGGGAAAACTAGAGCAGGTGGTTTCTTCATTGTCCCAGAAGCCCACCCCACAATGGAGGGACTCAGCAGAGCATTCCAGTGTGAGGAGGGGCGGGGCATAGGGAATCATTTTAGCTCCATCAGTGGGAGAATTGGAGTTTCAGCATGTTATCACTGAGTGCACAGTCAGCAGAATGTCACATGAAGGTGGCTTGTTCCCAAAGACCTAAGGGCCAGTGCTGGCGACCTGTGGAGGTTTCAGGAATTGTCCCCTCAGTAGGAATGGGAGGAAAGAGGACAGCCTTCAAACCTGACACACCCACCCAAAATGTCCAGGGCCAGGAGAGTAATAGCATATGGAAAGTACCTGATCCTCAATGAAAACTGTTAAAAGATGACTTGAGAGCCATGGGGTGGGGTGTTGCTGACAGGCTGTGGTAAACCTAGCTTGGTGTATACATACTGGATCTTCACAGTGGAGCCCACAACGGTCTCAGTCATTTTTAACTCCTTTATCATTCTGGCCTTTTGGTGTCTTCCCTGCAGCCTGGCTGCCTCAGGAGCCCTGTAGTGAGCCAGAGCCCCAGTAGAAACAGATGTTGACTCTGGCGTGGAGACAGTCAGTGCCCCTCAACCACAGTGTCACCTCCAATGCGTCTTCATCACACGGCCTTGCATTAACCTGGTTCTTTCCTTTTGACCCCCTGGTCTGCGGTGACTGTAATAACAAAAAGTGACATGGTGGGAAAAATAATTCCTCAGTCACAAGACTTTGTGAAACAGTATTTGTGGAGTCTTATTGCTAAAGCAAACTGACTCCTTCAGGCTGTCCTCTGACTTCCACACACATGCTGTACCATGCATCATGCATTCACTTTTCTTTCCTTTTAGTTTTTCAAGACAGGGTTTCTCTGTGTATCCCTGGCTGTCCTGGAACTCACTTTGTAGACCAGGCTGGCCTTGAACATAGAGATCCACCTGCCTCTGCCTCCTGAGTGCTGGGATTAAAGGCGTAAGCCTTCAAGCCCAGCTTAGTTACTTTTATACAAAACACCATGATCAAGGCAACTTATAAAAGTAAACATTTAATTTGAGGTGTATGGTTCCAGAGTATCCATGTTGGGGAGTGTGGCAGTAGGCGGGTAAACATGGCACTGGAGTGGTGGCAGAGAGCTAACTAACTGGGAATGACAAAGACTTTAAACCTCAAAGCTGTTCCATTGACACAACTCCTCCATTGAGCCACACCTCCTACTCTTTCCCAAAAAGCTCCACCAACTGGGGGCCAAGTGTTCAAACATAGGAGCATATAGGGGCCATTCTCATTCACACTGCCACACACAAAATAGTTGAATAATTATAATAAAATTATGATAAAAGTATAACATAGGGCTTGGGAAATGGTTCAGAAAATAGAAGAGCTTGCTGCCCAAGCATGAAGGAGTAAGTTCAAATCCCCAGAGCCCACATAAAAAGCTAAGTGTGGCCATGAGTTCCTGTAACTCCAGCGCTGTGGCAGGGCAGAGAAAGGAGAATGCTGAGGCCTGCTGACCACGGCCTAGCTCCAGGTTCAAACTGGGAATAAGGTGGACAGCAACAGACACCCAATGGCCTCCTCTGGCTTCCACACTCATGCATGGGTGCATACACGCACACACTTACACAGGTAAGAAGTATAATGTAGTAAATACATCAAAGCAATGGCAGTCCTTTCTAACCATTGTCAAGTTTTTTTGCAGTGTCCATGCCTTGACATGACTGAGAGCACAACATTTGGTTTACCAGCATCACCATGGCAGTACACTGTGATATGTTACCATGGCTACCAGACATGGCTTGGCAATGGGCATCTTTCAGCTGGTTATGTCTTATGTGCAGTCCATCTGTATTTCCCTTGGTAGATGTCACCTAATGATGTCCTGATGGAACATTCCTAGTAGCAACAGTCTCTTTAACCAACATGAAGGCAGCTGGCAGAGGCAGTGATGTGCCTACCATTGGAGTGAGTCCCAGGGCTGGCAAGGAGGCTAGGCTGGCTCACCCTGGCTCTGACATCTGCTGTTGCAGGCTGGGTCCTAGAGTGGCGTTGGCTGGCCGTGCTGGGCTGTGTGCCCCCCACCCTCATGCTGCTGCTCATGTGCTGTATGCCTGAGACCCCGCGATTCCTCCTGACTCAACACCAGCACCAGGAGGCCATGGCTGCCCTTCGGTTCCTGTGGGGCTCTGAGGAGGGCTGGGAAGAGCCTCCCATTGGGGTTGAGCACCAGGTGAGAGGCTGAGAGCAGGGCAGAGAGCATAGCCTGTTCCCAAGGCTACACACCAGATGGCAGCACCCCTCCACCCTCAGTGAGAACCAGTGTTGCCCTCTCTGAGCAGGTAGGAGCCAGCTGGAGCCCCATTTAGCTCCTAGTGTCCCAAGAAGTGAAGGGGCAGGCACTCAAGGGGAAAGAGGTGAGGGCCTCATTTAATGGGAACCAGAGGCAGGGGTGTCTTCAGGGTCACTGGCACGCAGACATTTTGCAGTTGTATGACCTGGCCATCTTGGAGACTTGGCTCCTTCATCTGTAAAAGGACAGTCCTTACTCACGGTGATGCCCATGGCTGCAGGAGGTGCTCTTCCTCTCCCAGGTGGAGGCGAACCCCGAACACACAAAAGTGCTTGGCTCTCGGGTATAGGATTCTTCACCCGAGTGCTGAAGTTCAAGCTCCCACCACTCCCCTGCACCCCACCCCACCCCCCGCATGAGGAGGGTTAGGGGCACACTCAGGGCCACAGGTGGGGTAGGGCTGGCAAGCTGAGGTTTTCCCCTCCATTTTAGGCTTCTGGCTCAAAGAAGGGTCCTTGGGTGAGGGGAGAGAACACTGATGAGCCGTCTTTGTGGCAGGGCTTCCAGCTGGCTATGCTGAGGCGCCCTGGTGTCTACAAGCCCCTCATCATTGGCATTTCACTCATGGCCTTCCAGCAGCTGTCAGGGGTCAATGCCATCATGTTCTATGCTGAGACCATCTTTGAGGAGGCCAAGTTCAAGGTAAGAGGCCTCTGCCCAGCCTGCCTCATACCACATGTGTGAATTAACCTCCCAGAGCTTAGGGCTTTTTGACCCAGCTCACAGCCAGAGAGAGAGGGAGGGACTTTTCTGTCTTTAGCAGACCAGCTTCTCCCCTCTCCCAGGACAGCAGCTTGGCCTCGGTCACCGTGGGCATCATCCAGGTCCTATTCACAGCTGTGGCAGCCCTCATAATGGACAGAGCAGGGAGGAGACTGCTTCTGACCTTGTCAGGTAAGAAGCCTGAGCAAGCGGCAGGGTCAGCCTCCCCAGCTCATGGGGCGACAGGGCCAGGGAGGTGGTATGACTAGTTCTTTTGAGCAAGTGACCAAACATCCCCAAGCCTCCTTTTCCTACTCTGAAATGGGGAAGGGCTGCAGTGAGGTCAGGTCCCGGGCAGTAGCTTTGGCCTACTCACCCATGGTGCCCATTGGCTCCTGTGAAGGCCTCTGTGGGTGTGGGGTTCAACACTGCTGTGGATGCTCCTGCTTCTGCAGATGAGAGACTGCTTGGGAACTTTTCAGCATTTCTTGAGGTCAGGTCCAAAGCACAGGAGGAGTGCTATCCAGTTGGGCTTCCATGGCCAGGGTGTGAGACTGCTGAATCTGGCCTTCCTCTCTCAAGCAGCTACACTGCCCTCTAGGGCGTGTCCCCAGCATCCTGCCTAACCTGAGCCCTGCCTGCAGGTGTGGTCATGGTATTCAGCATGAGTGCCTTTGGTACCTACTTCAAGCTGACCCAGAGTGGCCCCAACAACTCCTCCCATGTAGGCCTCCTAGTGCCCATCTCTGCGGAGCCTGTTGACGTCCATGTGGGGCTGGCCTGGCTGGCTGTGGGCAGCATGTGCCTCTTCATTGCTGGTAAGAAAGGACTCAGGGAAACTGAGTGGGGTTATCCCTGTAGCCCACCATGCCAAGTTCTGTAGCAGTCAGCTCAAAGCTCCTTTTACTCTAGCTTTGCCCCTCTGCCCCAAGGAGCATGACTTCTGTGCATGTGACTCTGACCATGTATGTGCTGGGCTCTGAGCTAAATTCTTTCACATAATCTCTATGACAACTTGCAAGCAGGTCCCATCCTTGTCCTGAAGTCTAAAAGGGGAAGGGACTGACCAAAGACCTCCCAGCAGGGTCAAGGGCTGGTAGAGCCCCTAAGACCCACAGGCTAGGAAGCATGATGTATGAGCCCAGCATGTCTCAACACTGCATTGCTCCTACAGGCTTTGCGGTGGGCTGGGGACCCATCCCCTGGCTCCTCATGTCCGAGATCTTCCCTCTGCATGTCAAGGGTGTGGCTACTGGTGTCTGTGTCCTCACCAACTGGTTCATGGCCTTTCTGGTGACAAAAGAGTTCAGCAGCATCATGGTGAGTGCAGACCCTTGCCTTCCCCTCATGTTGTCAGCAAAGGCTTGCCTCATGAAACAACTTTCATTACCAGAGGTTCCATGTCCATGACCTTGAGTGTAGGCTGAGGTCCTCTAATGGCTGAAACACTGCCATCTCAAGATGACATGAAGCCAGAGGCTAAACCAAATGAGGAACCTGGTCCATGACCCCCTAAGTCTTCAGTCTGTTTTGGGGTGAGGATAATATGGCCGGCCTTCCCCACTAGTGAATGTCAGGAACACAGGCCAGAAGCCCATGATAAATATAAAAGAAATTGACAGATCTGGGCTCTGAGGCACACACACATATGCACACAGAGAGAATGGCTACTTCCCTGTGTGTTGCCTTGTGTACTGCTTAGCCTCTCAACATGGTCCTAAACTAGAAGTGCAGGTACGTAGTGGTTCCTTCCTCCTAGGTTGGAGGGCATGTCAGTTCCAGTCAACACTTTGTTTCCCTCTGTATTTGCTGCTGCTGCTGTGGCTGCTGCCTGCCATCTTCCTAGCCACTAGAGAGGGAGGGAGGTTCTGGTGCAGATAAGCAAGCCATCTGTTCAGTCACTGGTGTCCTCCATGTCTTCTGGCATGTGCCGTGCCTAGGCCTGTTTAAGACTTTAGAGATGGCTAAACAACTGAGTTGAATAGGGTCCCTTTCAGGACAGTTGCCAGGAAGGTAATGGGTGGCACACAGGGCTGCCCAGAAAGTCCAGAGAAAGGCAAGCAGAGGCCCATCATAGAATGTGGGAGGGAGCAGATAGCAAAGGACCTGGGGGAAGAAGCCCAGAAGGATGTGACAAAAATCCAACAGGGATGGGGGAGGAGGGACCCACACGACACAGGCAAAGAAGCTGAAAGGTCACCCACCAGGTGTCCTTTCCTGCAACGAACTGAGTGAGGACTTTGCTCTGCCACCTGCAAAGTCAAAGACTCATTCCCACCCTCTCTCAAGAGTAACAGTTCCCCCTTCCTCACCACACAGAGAACTCAGAGTAGCAGGACACCGGAGGGTGGGGCCAAAGATATACGCCTGAGGGCAGTAAGCCTGGGATGCCCAGAAACAGGGAACTAGCTGTCCCTTGACATTCCTGATCTCAGGGCAATCACTACATTACCATGAGTCTCAGTTTCCCAAACATGCATCACCTTGCGTGGCAGGGAGCTATCATCCACACATCTGGGTCTCCAGAGACAGGAGAGGCCTGGCAGGCAGGCTGCAGGCAGGGTGCTCTGGGATTGTTTGGGGGCTCTGACCTCTAGCTCTCTCCACCTGTGCCTTTCTTCTCTGCAGGAGATCCTCGGGCCCTACGGTGCCTTCTGGCTCACTGCTGCCTTCTGTATCCTCAGTGTCCTTTTCACGCTGACCTTCGTCCCTGAGACTAAAGGCAGGACTCTAGAACAAATCACAGCCCATTTCGAGGGACTATGACAGCCCCTTTCTGTGACTGGCAGCCCTGAGCTGGGCTTGCTTTGGGTTTCAGAAGGAGTTCAGTGGCCTGTAGCTGAGCCACACCTCAGTTTGAGCCTGGAGCCCCCTACTCCTCAGGCCTCAGAGCCCCTCCTTGTCCAGGTTGAGACCCAGACCTATGCTACGAGGTTCACCAGATTCTGGATCTAGTCTCTGTAGCCTGCAGCACACACAGGACATCTGAGAAGCTGTGTAGTTGCGCCTGACACACGCCTCCTTCCTCAGACAAGCTCCTGTACCCTGTTTTCTGGCTGGGGATCTTTTGGCTCCTGGGTCCTAAGCACCCACCTATGCCTCCCACTTGACTGTGGGATCCAAAAGGAATTTGGCCACATAAAAGTTGGGCTCAGAAATGAAGCTGTGGCCTCTTTGAGTGAGCCCAGGTAGAGAAGAGAATATTCTAGTCAACCAACCAAACCTGCCCTCCTTGGCCCTGCCCAGAGGTTCTGTGGATCCACTGTGGGGTCAGCCAGCTTACCCATAACTTGCAGGTTCATTCCAGCTCTTTCCTGGGCTCGGAGTCCTGGGTCATTACTCACCAAATCTTGTTGAATTTCAGAAAATAAAAAACCTTTTTCTGTTGGACTTTAATGAAGCCAGAAGTCTTTTTCAGGGCCCTTGTATCATGGATCAATACATACTCACTGAAGTAAATGAGAAGACAGACTGGGTTGTTGAGATTTTGCCAGCAGCTGGTCATCTGCTAGGCACTGTACTTGCATGGGAAAGCTGCCCCTTTCCAGAGGTAACCCCAAGTAAGACTGGCTCCATTGTGAGGCTCCCATCTGACACCCACTCTTTCAAGATCAGCTATTCAAAAGAGCAGGCTTGCTGGGCAGTGGTGGCACATACCTTTTTAATTTCAGCACAGGAGGGCCTCTGAGTTTGAGGCCAACCTTGAACTACACTGGTTTGCAAATCCAGTTCCAGGGCAACCAGAGCTGTTAAACCTGTCTTGAAAAAGAAACATCAAGCCAGGCGTTGGTGGCGCACGCCTTAGGCAGAGGCAGGTGGATCTCTGTGAGTTCAAGGCCAGCCTGGTCTACATACAGAGCACGTTCCAGAACAGGCTCCAAAGCTACACAGAGAAACCCTGTCTCAAAAAGCAAAAAAGAAAAAGAAAAAAGAAACATCAAAAAACCCAGCAGGGGGGGCTGGAGAGATGGCTCAGCAG